GTCTTAGTCTGGAAGTTCAGCTGAAAGCTAGTCACCATGCATGACTCTGCTATTTAAAATACCAATGGTATAGTTTCCAGCATCACAGCAACATGCAAGCCACTATAGTACGACAAACATGCAGACAAGTGGTGGAAGATTGTTGTGAAGTGCCATCGAGTTCGTTCCGACTCACATCGGCCTTTTGTAGGGTTTCTGAGGAGCAGTTAGTGAGTTTGAACTACCAACCTTGCGGTTCAAACAGACCTTGCAGTCCAGTGCTTATCGTATAGTGCCATGACATTTTTGTTGTTGTTGTTAAGTGCTGTCGAGTCAGTTCGGACTCATAGCGACCCTGTATAGGGTTTCCAAGGAGCAGATGGTGAGCTTGAATTGCCAACCTTGCAGTTCAAACGGCTTTGCAGTCTGGCGCATTAACCCACAGAGCCATGTACGTCAATACAGGATGACAAAAAAACCAATTAAGTTGAAATATAGTTTTCAAAATATTAAAAATATCTAGTATATAGTGATGGATGGGCTTTTTGATTAATACATTAAATATCAAGATCTAGTGACAAGTTAAATAAGCCCTGTGGCTGGGGGTGTGGTAAATGTGAATGACACCTCCCTAGAGCTGAGGAACAATGGTATAGAATAAGAACCATTGGTGACTTCCTTGGGTGAGAAAGGCCCAGGTATCGCTGACTCTACTGTGGTTTGTTGCCCACATTCATAAAGGAAGAAAATGCTCAATTTCAGGGAAGGTCAGTGAAATAAAAAGGACTCCCATCCAAGTTCATGGACCTCAGGCTAAGAGCTGCTTGGGCTCAAGTGTCCTTGACATAGCACCCTCCCCTGTCTACCCCCCAACTCCTACTCCATCAGCCCCTGTCCTCTCTTCTTCTCTTTGGGGCCAACCTCCCCTAACAGGGCTCTGTCTCGTCTCTCTGAGTCTACACTTCACATGCCTCAGCTCACTGCATCTTGGGTGGTCACCAAAGTCTCCATGATCAGCAGGTGACTCAGGGAGGGCTCCGTCTGGTTTTTATGAGCAGGACCTCACAGTCCTTTTTCCTTCCTTTGCTTTCTGTGGCTTTACATTCTCAAGCCTTGTCTCCTGAGCACTAATGTTCTCCTCAGTCTCCTGTACCTCCCCTTTCCCTTTGGACCTGGCCATACAAGTTCTGCTTGGGGCTGGGTGTCTCTCCAGGTGACCTTATTCACTCTCCAGTCCTTCGAACTCTGACTCTGTTCATGGCACTGCCCTGAATCTGCAGGCCTCAGCTCTCTTAGGCCCCAGAACAGGAACAGCTGTATTTACTGAGTGGCTACATGTGCGTGAGAGGCCCTGGTAGAACCATGCTTAAAGGTTTGGTTGCTAAATGAAAGGTCACTGATTTGAACCCACCATCTGCTTGGTGGGAGAAAGATGTGGCAGTCTGCTTTTGTAAATATTTGCCATCTTGGGAACTCTATGTGACAGCTCTATTCTGTCAAATGGAGTCTCCATGAGGTGGAATTCGACTCGAAGGCAATGGGTACCATGTGTCTAGAGGAATGCATTATCCTGAGTGACCCTCACAATAACACGTGGAGTGCCCATGCTTCATAGCTGCCATGTGGCAGGTCCAGAGTCTAGGCTCAGGGTGGCTTGAAGCCAGTGTTCCTAACCACTCTACTCTCCTGCATGTCTTGCAGATGCCCTAAACTCAACACGTCCCAACTGAGCTCCTCACCGCTATCCTGACTGTCCTCCACTGTTCCCACTTCTCTATAGGCACCACTTCCATTTTCTTTTTCCTCTTGGCCTTATATGCTTCTTCAGGATCTTGCCTTTTGAGTCCCACCTCCTGTTCCTCAATCCATGGCAGAATGGCTTGAAAGAAAGTAGCCAACTCAAACATGAAAGATTTAGGGCACCTTTGATGCGTCTCCCATTTTATACAACCCATTACTGAGCAGAGCTGAGTCTACTTTCAATCTGTCTCCCTCTTTTCTCACCATCCCCACTTTCCACCCATGGTCTTTGCTGTTGTTGTTGTGAAGTGCCGTCGAGTCAATACCGACTCATAGAGACCCTGTATAGGGTTTTTGAGGAGTGGCTGGTGAGCTTGAACCGCCAACCTTGTGGTTCAAAGCAAGCTTACAGTTCAGTGCATTAACCTACAGCACCACACCAGGACTGCGCCCACAATCTTAGGCACCGTCAGTTCTCTGTCACACCACTGCAGCAGTATGTTCAGTCTCCTGGACTCTGATGTTGCTCCTGACAATTGTTCTCCACCTAATTTGATGTTGTTAAGTGCTGTCGAGTCCATTCTGACCCATAGCGACCTTGTATAGGGTTTCCAAGGAGCAGCTGGTGAGCTTGAACCACCGACCTTGCAGTTCAAACGGCTTTGCAGTTCTGCACATTAACCCACAGCGCCACACCAGGACTCCAAATTCACAGTACACCTGATTATATTATAGGTTCTGAAAAGTCATGAGTACAGAACCTGTTTCTCCAAATAACTTGATCATAAAACATTTCCCTATTGTTCTACTTGCAGAAATTGGGCATCACAAGAATGTGGGCCGTTTGGCTCTGAGTGAAATACTGTTACTCAGTCTCACTTTGAGTGCGACCCCCTTCCTTAGAAATGTGGTGACGTGGGAAAGGACCACTGCCTTTGGGAAGCTTTGATCCTAGAACTGGCTAGGCCTAAGGAAGCACAAGAAGCACCTAAGAGACCTCCCAAATGTCACCTCTGCTTTCCCCTGGTGTGTGTACCATGTGCACATCCTCAATGTGGCCCTCAAGAACCTTCACCATCCAGCGCCTGCTTACCCCCAACTCTATGTCTCAGTGGCTCCTGCTTCCTAGTTGTCCTCCAGCTGTGTCGGATTACCCAATAAGCAAGGTAAGCACAGGCTTCTTGTGCTTACTTACTAATCTGGAATGGACAATTTTTACATTTTCTCACCATGTGAACAATTCTGCTCTAGGTATGGTTGGCATCTGTCTCTCTGCCAACCCCACAGCATCTTTCTAGAGAACCACGGTCTCTTCTAACAACCTCCAACAGGAATACAGTACTCACTAAGCAAGGTAAACATGTGCTTACTTGTGCTTATGTATGCCCACACTTACTCTGTTTATATGATAATAAGATAATTGCTTTTGCAACACCTAGAAACTCTGAGGTCTTAATGGTCTTTGGTTTATATTCAGTTTACTCAAATTCACTGCCATCAAGTCGGTTCTGACTCATAGCAACCCTGTATAGGGTATACAAGGAGTGGCTGGGGGATTTGAACTGTTGAACTTGTAGTTAGCAGTCTAGTGTTTATCTTGTAGCACCACATCAGTTACCTGCCCTAATAACTCTTGTAACAACTTTCCCAGCTGATGTGATGTGTTTAATGCTGTTCCTTCCCGCTCAACTGTAAGCCCGGTGAAGGAAGGGTGACCAAGCTGGCTTGTCTGCTGCTGAGTCTTCACAGCCTGCCCTGAAGGAAGCATACTGTCAGAATTTGTTTCATGAAAGCTGAAAGGCATTTCAAGGAAGACAGGAAGCTTCCACACCTTGGCTCTGTTCTCTACACAAGACACAACAAAAACACTGATAACCACCCCAATCCTAATGAAAATCCCCTTCTTACGTGTCCATCCCATTGCCACCCCATAGCCATCTAGCAGATTCTGACTCATAGCGTCTCTGCAGGAGAGGGCAGAACTACCCCATTGCGTTACCGAGGCTGTACATCTTTACAGAAGCAGCCTGCCTCATCTGTCTACTACACAGTAGCTAGTGGGTTTGAACCCCTGACCTTTTGGCTAGTTTAACCATTACTTATTCTTTTGCTGTTAAGTGCTGTCGAGTGGGTTCTGACTCATAGCCGGGTTTCCAGGTGGTGGGTTTGAACCGCCACCTTGAGATTCAAACTGACCTTGTGAACCAGTGCTTTATCCTACAGCGCTGCACTAGGACTCCCTACTTATTCTTGTTGTTAAGTGCCATCAAGTCAGTTCCAACCTATAGCGACTCTGTATAGGGTTTCCAAAGAGTGACAGGAGAGCTTGAGCTGCTGACCTTGTGTTTCAAAGTGACTTTACAGTCCAGAGCATTAACCCACAGTGCCACACCAGGACTCCTTATTCTTACTCTTTTGTAGTTGTTGTTAAGTGTCATTGAGTAGGTTCCGACCATAGCGACCCTGTCTGTATACGGTTTCCGAGGAGCAGCTGGTGAGCTTGAACCTTGCAGTTCAAACTAACCTTGCAGTCCAGCGCATTTATTCACACCAGTGCCCTGCAATTCACTTATTCTTGTTGTTGTTATGTGTCGTGGAGTCGGTTCCAACTCATAGCAACCCTGTACAGGGTTTTTGAGGCTGTGAATCTTTACGGGAGCAGAAAGCCTTATCTTTCTCCCGCGGAGCAGCTGGTAGTTTCGAACTGCTGACCCTGAGATTAGCAGCCTGATTCGTAATCATTCTACTAAAATTGATTCATTCAACTGGCTCTACTCCTTGTCTCATTAAAATGCAAATACAACTTGAAGATACACCTTAACCAAATTAGACATTTATACTTTGCCCTGAATGATTTTATTGGCTCTTAATGGAGGGAAGATGACATCAAGTACCATTTATTGAATGCATCCTTTGACCAGACACTTTACATTCATCCATTAGCTCTGTTAAATGAGTGTATAAATTTGCTCCAGAAATATTCAAGTCACAGAAAGATTAAGTAACTAGCCCCTGGTAACAGAGCCAGCAAATTGGTCCTTCCTGGTTTGACTCAACACGTAAGCCTATGCTCTCTCACTGGAGCCTGAGGCTGTGGGAGGGAAACATGAAAGGGAAGAGAAGGATGCAGGCAAGGTAACCAACTTCACCTTCTCCTGCATTTGACCCAGAGCCTGGAGGGTGCTGGATGCTGAGACTGACCCAGTGGGGAAGTTGCTCACCCTTGACTCCTGTCTTCTCTCCCACGTCCTGTCCAACCCACCAGTGTGCATCCACATTACCTGCCAGGTACTCGATGACCGCTGCCATGTAGACAGGAGCGCCCACGCTGATCCGATACTTGAAGGTCCCTTTCTTCAGGTAACGCATCAGCCTTCCCACCGGGAAGATGACGCCAGCCCTGGCTGAACGGGACAGCTTGGACATTTTCTTCTTCCCACTCCGGCCTGACATCTTGCCTTACTTTCCCTCTCAGCTTGCTGACACCGTGGCCTCCTGGCACTAACAGAATGCTGAAATGGAAAAAAGGCAGGGGTGAGGGTGGCCGACTGATTGACAAGCATCTTGGAAACAGTGATGTGGCCCCAGAGGACTGTGGACAGACCCTACCACTCCATAGGGGCAGCAGAGACCTGGCATGAGACACTGCAGGGCCACACACAAACAGCTCCCTGTCCTGGCCCACCTCCATCAAGCCAGCTGACCTCAGAGGAGAGACAAAGGAAAACTGTCCCACTGGAGAGAGTGGTCATGGATCCTGTGATAGGCTGAATAATGACCCCCAAAGATGTCCACGGCCGAATCCCAGGAACTTCTGAATGACGCCTCATACGGCTGTCGGGATTTTGCAAATGTGACAAAAATCAAGGGCCCTGAGATGGTGAAGCAATTCTGGATTGTCCTAGTGGGTCAGTGTAATCACCATCCTTGTAAGAGGGAGGCAAGAGGTCAGTAGAGGGCGGGAGATGTGATGAGGCAATGCAAGGAAGACACCATCAGCCAGGGAACAGAGGCAGCACTTAGAATCCAAAAGAGGCAAGGAAATGAATTCTCCCTGGAGCCCCCCAAAAGAACCAGTTCTGCCGACATCTTCACTTTAGCCCAGTGAAACTGATTTCTGACTTATGGTCTCCAAAATTGTAGGAGAACATAGCTGTGTCATTTAAAGTTAATACGCTTCTGGTGATTTCCTAAGGCAGGAACATGAAAATTAATACAGTTTCTCTTTGTCCTGATCTGTTTCTGCCAATTTAAATAAGTGGTTTGTTGTTAAGTGCCACTGAGTTGATTCTGATTTACAGAGACCCTCTATAGGGTTTCAAGGAGCAGCTGGTAGGTTTGAACCGTTAACTTTGTGGCTCATAGTCCATTGCTTATCCTACAGCACCACACCAGGACACCAGTTGTTGTTGTTGTTAAGTGCTGTTGAGTTGGTTCTGACCCATAGTGACCCTGTATAGGGTTTCTGAGGAGCAGCTGGTGAGCTTGAACTGCCAACCTTGAGGTTCAAATGGACTTTGCAGTCCAGCGTGTTAACCCACAGTGCCACACCAGGACTCCAAAAGTACTTACTAAATGTTGTTGAGTTGGTTCTGACTCAGCAACCCTGTATAGAGTTTCCGAGGAGTGGCTGGTGAGCTTGAACTGTCAACCCTGCGGTTCAAACCACCTTTGCAGTCTAGCGCATTAACCCATAGTCACAGTTAATATGATTATGCCTATATGGAGTCCTGGTGTGGCACTGTGGGTTAATGCGCTGGACTGCAAGGTCGCTTTGAACCGCAAGGTCAGCAGTTCAAGCTCACCAGCCGCTCCTTGAAAACCCTATGCAGGGTTGCTACAGGTTGGAACCAACTCAACGGCACTTAACAACAACAACAAAAACAATATAGACAACGAATAAAGAAGATCGTAGAAGAATTGATACATTTGAGTTGTACTGTTGGAGGAGACTATTAAAAGTACCATGGTCTGGCAAAAGAACAAACACATCTGTGTTGGAAGAAGTACAGCCAGGATGCTCCTTAGAGGTCAGGATGACCAGACTCCATCTCTCATTTGTCGGACACATTATGATCCCTAGCGAAGGACGTTATGCTTGGTAAAGTGGAGAGACAGAGAAGAAGAGGGAGACCCTCAACCACATGGATTGGCACAGTGGCGGCAGCAGCACTGGACTCAAGCATAAAAACTGTGAGGTTGGCACAGGACTGGGCAGTCTTATGTTCTGTTGTGCATAGGGTCACTGTGCGTTGACACTGACTTGATAGCACCTAACAACAACAACAACAACAACAACAATGATTTTGTAGCAATATTTTTGACCTACCCATATTTGTACTTACTGTCCTCTGATTTTATATGGCACATTGCTACCAAAAGATCAGTAGTAAGAAAGCATGGATGAGGAATGGCCTTAGAATATCTTCTTTTTGACAGGAAAGGACAGAAATAGGGTTAGCTTTGACCGACATGACTCAGAACTGAGCGTTTCTCAAATAAAAACATTTTCTGAATTCCCTGGTAATACAGTAGTCCTGGTGTGGCACTGTGGGATAAAGCACTGGGCCACAAGGTGGGTTTGAAATGCAATGTCAGTAGTTCGAACTTACCAGCCGCTCCTCAGAAACCCTATAGAGGGTGGCTTTGAGTCAGAACTGACTCAATGGATGGCCCTTCACAACAAAATAACATTCTTAAAAAGGCAGGAGCAAGCTGGCAGAGGCAGTTCTACTGACTATGTGATTACAGAGTATCCACATAAAGCAAATTTAAATCCATGATGTAACTCCACGGAATGGGAAGCCAGGATGAGTTTTGAGAGAGACTTCAGAATTAACAGTAAGATATAATGTGTTCAGAGATGTGTATATGATTCCTTGGTATTTAAGGGAACTTGCATTTTGTGCATCTGAATTATGGAACTTGCATTTTGTGCATCCGAATTATGGAAGAATATTGAATATACCATGGTGTGCCTGGAGAATGAACAAATCTATCTCGTAACAAGTATAATAGCCAAAATGCTCCTTAGAAGTGAGACTGGCACGGAATGGTCTCATGTACTTTAGACATGTTGTCAGGAAGGATCTGTCCCTGAAGAAGGATGTTGTCTTAGTCATACACAGTGCTGCTATAGCAGAAACATCGCAAGTGGATGTTTTAAACAAATTTATATCACAAAGTTTAGGAGGCTATTGTCATTAGATGCCATTGAGTTGGTTCTGATTCATAGCAACCCTATGCACAACAGAATACAACACTGCCTGGTTCTGTGCCAGCATCACAATTGTTACATTTGAGCCCATTGCTGCCGCCACTGTCTTCTTTGTCACCAACCCTCCATTTTACCAAACATGATGTCTTCCTCCAGGGACTAGCCCATCTTGATAACATCTCCAAAGGATGGCCTTGTTTTGGCTGATGATGATGTTGAGCTTTTCCACCATCTCTTCCTGTATATTCCATCTGGTGAGGTCCATATGCACAATTGCCTTTTATGTTGTTTAAAAAGATATTTGCAATGAATAACTCACTGGTTTTGCAAAATTCTATCATGCACTCTCCAGCATAGTTTCTTTCACAAAGGCCATATTTTCCAACTATTGATC